TTCATATATACTGACATATATTCATATATACTGTACATATATTCATACTGTACATATATTCATATATAGTGACATATATTCATATATACTGTACATATATTCATATATACTGTACAAGCTTTAAATGTTTTCTAATGACTGTGTATTGTTGTGTACCTCATCTTTGCTTTTGTTGTGTTTAAAACAGGTCTCTGTCAACACACAGGACCCACACTGGGGTGGGGGGCTAAGGACCCAGACTGGGGTGGGGGGCTAAGGACCCAGACTGGGGTGAGGGGCTAAGGTCCCACACTGGGGTGGGGGGCTAAGGTCCCAGACTGGGGTGGGGGGCTAAGGACCCCGACTGGGGTGGGGGACTAAGGTCCCTAAGGGCAGTTTCAAGAATCGCCCCTGAATATAATCATTTAGGATTTTAAACATGTTTTCTGCTGCTAGCAGTCTTTTAGGGAGGAAAAACTCTAATAGCAGCGCTTTAACTCTTTTGTCCGCATGTCAAAAACATGATTTAATTTAAAAAAGTAACTTTTGGGCTCAAATCAGACCAGTTAAAGCTACATGCTAGCTAACGCTTAGTTTCGAACTCGCGCTAATTTAGAATCACGCGCAGCAGGAGAGACTTTTGTTCTCCTCACATGGCTGAACCACATCAAACCTGAAACACATCAAACCTGAACCACATCAAACCTGAAACACTGCAACGTAACCAAAATTAAGACGTGTCAAAAACAAACCTCTATTCCAGTCCGCCATACTCCTGAGAAACGTCACATCCGGTCACAACCAACTTGCGCTGGAACAGATGCGCGTGATCACTTTGTGAGAAGGAGGAGCCTTGAACTAGAGAAACATTAAAAGGCAAGGGCCAAGAATTTATGCCGCCATGTTGAAAAGAGCTAAACGTAGCAAGGTGGACGTCGCATTGCCAAAATAACAACAGACCACACATTTGAAAGCCTAAAATAAGCGAAGTGGTTCTATTAGTGCTGGCCAAACGAAGCTTGTCTAAAGCTTTGAAGCTTGTTTCGAAAAAAAAAAAACGCTTTTCAACATAATCCTCTTAGGCGCCAATGGGTGGCCAAAAGTATAAAAAGCAGCTTGAATCCATCCATCCATCCATTATCTTTACCCGCTTATTCCATTTTGGGTCACGGGGGTCGCTGGTGCCCATGTCCATCAATCACTGTGCAAGGGGTGGGGGACACCCTGGACAGGTCTCCAGTCCATCACAGGGACACATAGAGACAAACAAGACAACCATTCTCTCTCTCTCTCACCTCAGGACAATTCAGAGTCACCAATCAGCCTAACATGCATGTTTTTAGTCTGTGGGAGGAAACTGGAGCACCTGGAGAAAACCCACGCAGCACGGAGAGAACATGCAAACTCCACCCAGAAAGGCCCCTGGCCAGGATTTGAACTGGCAACCTTCTCGCTGAGAGGCAGCAGCTCTACCAACTGTGCCACTGTGCCGTCAGATCGTGTCACTTGTTTTTGTTAAATTTTTTATAAAAACAAAAATGTTGAAAATAAACTTTAATGTTGTAGCAAATTTCTGTGCATGGAGCATAAAAATTAATATTATTATTGTTTTCTTATGTTCAGTCAGGATTATGGTCAAAGTGTCTGTTGCTCTTTAGAACTTTGAGTTTTTTTTAATTGTATTTATTTATTTAGCTTGGCCCTAATCCTCTTCTGTAGGATCTATGAGGCTGCAGATCATCACCTCGGATACCATACTGAGCAGCACAGGGGCTCCTCAGGGCACGGTCCTCTCAGCGTTTCTGTTCACCCTTTACACCTCGGACTTCAGGTCCAACTCACAATCCTGCATCTGCAGAAGTTCTGGATGATCTGCCATAGTGGGCTGCACCACTGGTGACCAGGAAGCTGAACACAGAGGTGGTGTGGACAGAACCACCTGCAACTCAATGATGGAAAAACTGAAGAGCCGCAGGTGGACTACAGGAAGAAGACCCCCCCATCAACATCAAGGGAACTAAGGTGGACACTGTGGACTGATACAAGTACCTGGGGATCCACCTAGACAATAAAATGAACTGGACAGCTGACACCAACACCCACTACAAGAAAGGACAGAGTCTACTTTTTCTTCTGAGGAGACTCAGGTCCTTTAACATCTGCAGGACCATGCTGCAGATGTTTCACCACTCAGTGGTCTCTGCAGGACCATGCTGCAGATGTTTCACCACTCGGTGGTCTCCAGCGTCTTCTTCTACTCTGTGGTGAGCTGGGGCAGCAGGGTGAAGAAAGCTGATGCCAACATATCCTGATGCATGCTCAACAGACTCGATAAGCTCATGAAGAGATCTGGTTCAGTTCTGGAAGTGGACCTGCAGTCTCTGACAGAGGTGTCTGAGCAGGGGATGCTGAGGAACCTGCTCCAGATCCTGAACATCACATCACCCCCCCTGCATGACACCCTGGACTCACTGCAGCACCTTTAGTCAGACTGAGAGCACGAGGTGCTCCACAGAACAACACAGGAAGTCCTTCAAACTGTTCAACTCCCCCTCGACTGAAAAATGTTGGATTGTATACCAGGATTATTGAGCATGGACTTTGTTCAAAACCCGTCCTGAAAAATCCTCCATCTTAGACCTGCTTCTAACTAATATGCCTCACAAACTCCCTGGTACAGGTGTATCCGCTGATATTTTGAGTGATCATTGTGTGACAGCGACTCTGAGATATTAAACTTCCACCTTCTAAGCCCAGATTAATACAAAAAGGGATCTGAATCATTTCTGTAAACAGTCATTCCTCTGGGATCAGTCTCACTTTGACTGGCATCGTATTCTGTTAACTGATGACGTGAACTCTGCTTGGAACTATTTCCATAATAGTTTCATTTATTTTGTGAACAAACATGCTCCTTTTCGTCAGTTCAGAATAAAGGGACGAGACAGCCCCTGGTTTACTCCAGAGCTAGCTGACCTCCTGCACAGGAGAGACCATCTTTGGGCCACAGCGAGAAAATCTGGCTCAGACACTGATTGGTTGAGTTTTCAACAGATGAGGAATAAATGTACAACTGCTGTCAAAGCTGCAAAACACAACTATTTCTTATCTCAGACCTCCAAAAATATAAATGACCCTAACAGATTCTGGAAAACCATCAAATCTCTCTCAGGCACCCCCCAATCATCTGACCTCCCATCACAACTTCTCGTTAACTCTGTTCCTGTGTCAAATCAGCACGAGATCCTGAACTGTTTCAACAAACATTTTGTTGCTTCTAGTTCTTTATTTGACACAGTAACTAATGGAAGATCAGCCACTTCACTTAATAACCAAACTTCTTCAAATCAAATCCCTCCTACAAGTCAATCCTCAGTTAATCACAGCTTCTCTTTTTCTCCGTTCTCAGTCAGTGAGGTCAATAAACTGTTAAAAGATCTTGACCCTAAAAAATCTGCAGGTCCAGATGAACTTCCACCTTATTTCTTAAGGCTGGCTGCTCATATCATCACAGTCCCTGTGACCCACATCTTCAATCTCTCCATGAGACAAAACTCCATCCAGACACTTGAAAACAGCCTTTGTTCTTCCTTTGCTGAAGGGAGGTGACCCCCCCTCACTGAACAACTATGGACCAATCTCTAAACTCTGCATTTCAGCCAAGGTTCTAGAAAAACTGATAAACTCTCAAATCAAAAATGACCTGGACTCATTTAACATCTTACCTCCACATCAATCTGGTTTCAGGAAACAACACAGCACAACCACTGCTTCACTGAAGGTTCTTAATGATGTTGTTGAAGCACTGGATGCTAAGGATTATTGTGCTGCACTTTTCTTAGACCTGTCTAAAGATTCTGACACTGTGGATCAGAACATCTTGTGTCATAAACTCTCAGAAATTGGTTTCTCAGATCACACCATTGGTTGGTTCTCTATCTCTCAGACCGGAGGCAATGTGTTCAACATAATGGTACTTCCTCCAGTTATTTAACAGTCAACAACGGTGTACCACAAGGCTCAGTCGTAGGACCCACCCTCTTTACAATATACATACATAGTGTAGGTAGAAACATCCCTAATGCATCCATACATTTCTATGCTGATGACACAGTTGTTTATTGTCGAGCTAAAACTGTTGCTAAGGCTTTCTAGCTTTTGAAATCTGCATCATTAACATCATCCAGACTGATTTGTTTCACCTCAAACTTGTCCTAAATGCCGACAAAACCAAAGGGATGCTTTTTTCAAATAGGAAGTTGGTCCCAGCAGTTCTTCCTCTGTTTTTATCCTCAAATGGTGTTCCCATTGAGTTTGTTGATTCCTATAAATATTTGTGTATCTTGGTCGACTCACTTCTCTCTTTTAAGCTCCATGTGGAAAACTTGGTAAAGAAACTGAAAGTTAAACTGGGTTTCTTTTTCATAAACAGATCCTGTCTAACTCTGAATGTTAGGAAACACCTTGTATCTGTGACTTTCCTTCCCTCCATTGATTACGGTGACATTATTTACATGAACACTCCTACAAGAACCCTGCAGATGTTGGATGCTGCAGATGTTGGATGCTGCAGATGTTGGATGCTGTCTATTATGGTGCACTAAGATTCATAACTGGCTGTAACTACTGTACCCACCACTGCACCCAGTATTCACTGGTTAACTGGTCACCATTAACTTCACACAGACTCTCTCACTGGTACATCTTCATCTTTAAATCACTTCCTGGTCTGCTGCCTTCATACATCTCCTCCTACATGTCTCTGTGTGAGTGCAGCTACAGCGTGCGCTCTCAGGACATCATTACCTGCAGTGTTCCCTCAGTGAGGACTGAACTAGACAAAAGGACCTTCTCCTACTCCGCTCCTGTTTCCTGGAATATCTTGTAAAAAGATCTGAAGCTCTCGACCTTTGACCTCTCTAAGTGTCTTTAAGAATTTGTTGGACTCCTGGCAGGGACCAATGCAGACATGTTCCTGTTTTTAGTTTTATACATTCACCTTATAATCTAGCTGTTTTTTTTTGTTGTTGTTGTTGTTACCTTTTTCTTTTAGCCATCCTATTTGTAAAAAAACAAAACAAAAAAAAACTGTAGTATGCTTTTTTATAACTGCTTATTGTTGTTGCTGTTGTCCATTGTTGTCATCTTTCTTTGTTAAATCAGGTCTCTCTTGTAAATGAGTCCTCGAGGCTCAATGGGATTTACCTGTAAAGGTTGATTGATTGTTCCTCCCCCTTTCTACACAGAGGACAATAAAATTAATCCTGCACCAAAACAAACTCTTTAATGTTTCTGTCTGACCTGTTTAGATCTTAATGATGGTATTTTTATATTCTGTTATTTTGTAGATCTTGTGATTCTTGTGTCTGTTCCTTTGTACTGAAACTCTGGAACAACTTCCTGCAGGATCAGTAAAGTCCTAGTTTATCTTATTGTTCACAAAACCTGAATACGAGATGACGCCGAGATTTTCTGGTTATTCTGGATTAACCAACCATGAGCCAGTTTTACAGAAGCAGTGTCACGTGTTAGTTTAGAGACTAATTCAGATTATCGGAGCCAGTGTGGCGTCACCCCGACTGGAAAACTTCTTCAGTTTGCAGTAAACGCCTCATCCATGCAGTTGTAATTTTATCATTTGGTCTGAAATAAATATAATTTCATGTATCAGATGATCACAGATGTGAAAAAATTGTGGAGTCTCAGTTGAAACAGTTTTTGGGGGATCACGCTATCCTTGAGTTATTCCAATCTGGCTTCAAATCTCTCCATAGCACTGAAACTGCTCTACTGAAGGTTTTTAATGACATTTTCATATCCACAGACGCAGGTGATTCTGTGCTGCTTGTCCTATTGGACCTTACATCTGCTTTTGACACCATCGACCACAATATCCTCATTTCTAGACTGGAGCAGTGGGTGGGCATCACAGGGTCAGCCCTTAAATGGTTTGGGTCCTACCTCTCTGACAGAACCTTCTGTGTCAATATCAAAGATTTTAGTTCGGCATCGACCGCACTCCAGTGGGGGGTACCGCAGGGGTCCATCCTCGGTCCCCTTCTCTTTTCTTTATACCTGCTGCCACTAGGTGCTATCTTCCGCAAACACGACATACCCTTTCATTTCTATGCCGATGATTGCCAAATTTACTTCCCCCTGAGGCACAGAGGCACACGCTCTATTCAGCCTCTTCTTGACTGCCTGGCTGACATCCGGGACTGGATAGCTTTAAACTTCTTAAGCTTCAATGAGAAGAAGTCTGAAGTCATGCTGTTCCATCCCAGTGGCTCACTCATGAACCATGACATTGACCTTTTCTCTCTAGCCCCGCTAGAGAAACAAAAGGTCACTAATCTGGGGGTGATAATGGACCCGTCCTTAAAACTCAACAGTCACGTAAACATGATGGTCAAATCCTGTTTTTTTCAGCTGAGACGGCTGTCTAAGCTGAAGCCTATACTCTCCAAAAAGAACCTCGAGACAGTGATCCACGCCTTCATAACATCTAGGCTTGATTACTGCAATTCACTTCTGTTTGGAATCAGTCAGTCCTCCATTGCTCGTCTACAACTGGTCCAAAATGCTGCAGCCCGATTTTTAACTGGCACAGGCTATAGAGAGCACATCACGCCAGTTTTGGCCTCCCTGCACTGGCTACCCATTCACCTTCGGATCCAATTCAAAATTCTCATGTATGTTTTTAAATCACTGAACAGTTCCGTCCCATCCTATCTCACTGATCTTCTGCAGCCATATGTCCCACCGCGCTCTCTGAGGTCAGCAGACCAGATGCTTCTCTCAGTCCCAGAAACCCGTCGTAAGCTCAGGGGTGACAGGGCTTTCTCTGTTGCAGGTCCACGACTGTGGAATGAGTTGCCACTGAGTGTCCGGCAGGCTCCCACACTCTCAGTCTTTAAGTCTCGCTTGAAGACCCACTTCTATTCTCTTGCCTTTAACACGGTGTGATTTGTTTTGGTCCGGTCTGTTCTCTACTCTGTTGGCCATTTTAGTTAGCTTCTGCTGCTATTTGTATCTGTATTTCTATTTTATGTTTTCCTGTTCGCTGTGCATGTTTGTGTTTCTTTTGTACAGCACTTTGGTTGGCCTTGTTGCTGTTTTAAGTGCTATATAAATATATTGGTATGGTATGGTATGTGTCCTGTCTGAGTGGAGCTCGTTTTCAGGAGTTGAAGACGTTTCTTGCGTGAGAAGTTTCTAAATCAAAAACGTGTAGAGCGTCTCGAGCGTTTGGTTCTGTAAACCAGATCCACGAGCAGATCCTCCCTCACGATGGAGCTCAGTGGGGTCTTTGTCGGACACCAGCAGGTAAACATCTGTATCAGCTGTTGGAGTCAACACTGTGTCTGTGGGCCGTCCTTTAATTATCCATCAAACACCTGAACAATCAGAAGTTTCAAATTGTATTTTTTATTTTTAAAAAGATGAATTTCAGCACATGAAAAGAAGACGAGCTGTTTGTTTCTGATGCTGCCTCAGAATAATGAAGCTCAACCAAACTGTGATGTCATCAGTTTCAAAACGTGAGCCCTCCTCCAGGAGACGGGGGTGTCAATCAGACTAAAGGGGGAGGTCCTCCTGCATCACGTGCTTCTGCTGCAGCTGTGCAGCACTTTTTTAAAGTAGTTCCTGAACTCCGTGTTGAAGATGGTGTAGATGACGGGGTTGAGGGCGCTGTTCACGTAGCCGAGCCACGTCACGATGCTCATCAGGGCCGGAGGGATGTTGCAGTCCTGGCACTGAGCTCGCATGATGTGGAGGACGAAGAAGGGGGTCCAGCAGAACAGGAAAGCACCTGCAGGAGGAGGACATGTGAGTACTGGAACACTTTGAAGACATGTTGGACATCAGTTGCATGACAGGATGGAGACAGTGTGACAGTGATGAGTCTGTCAATCAAGGATTTCTGACACCAGAGTGAGCCAGTAGATCAACATGGACAACTCGTCAAAGGAAACTCATGACAGGAAGACAACTTCGAACCATAAAAACTTCTGAAAGTATTTTAAACTCTTCTTTGGTAGAACTCCACTTTTTTTGTCACAACCTTTAACTGGTTCTGTCCTGCAGAACAGAAGTCCAGATGTCTGGTCTTTAGTCGTCACGGACGAATGGACGCTCATCAACGATGGATGGAAAGATGAATGGATAAATGGTTGGATGAATGGTTGGATGATGAATGAATGAATGAATGGAAATATGAATGATAAATGGTTGGATGAATGGTTGGATGATGGATGGATGATGGAAATATGAATGGATAAGTGGATGGATGGTTGGTTGGATGGATCATTTCAAGTTGTGTTTATTATAGATGATGGATAAACATTTTGATGAATGGTTGGATGCTAGATGGATAAATGGATGGATGGATAAATGACAGACAGACAGACGAGACAGATAGATGGATGGATGGATGGATGGATGTGTGGATAAACTGATGGACAGATGGATAGCTGAACGATAGATAAATGGAAGGACGGATGGATAAATAATGGAAAGATAAAGGATGGATGGTGGACGGATAGAAAGGATGAAAAGAAATGGGCGTGGCTCAGCATAACTGCAGTTTCCCAGCAGGCTCCTGTTGTGCAGAACCTGAACACACAGATATCCAGCATCACATTAATAGACACATTACGAAGTAGAAGAAGAGCAGCATTGACGAGGCGTCAACAGATGACGAGCATGAGTGTTCTTAAACCGTGCCGTTGTTCACATGGACTTCATATGTTCATGTCATTCCATGCTTTAGTAGAAACAGTTTTTAAAGGCTGCTCGTGGCAAGTGTCCGTTTGTAGCAGACCTAGTCGAGCGACCACGTCCACAATTGGTTTAGGCATCAAAGTAGAAAGAGCTACGTTACTGACGCCATGAAAAACCTGAAAGTACAATTTAATACTGCTGTGTAAGACGTAGCTTTGAAAAGATGGAGCATTAGAAAAAGAAAGGTCTGCTGAGTCCAGCCGGGAAGTTTCTTGTGAATGTTCTCGGCCTCACTGGTGATTTTATCTTCTTTTTAGGGGTGCTCAAGCAGTGTGGGCTGCACAAAGGTGCAACAGGTGCTAAATAATTTAAAATCATTTATTTTAAATACAAAATCCATGCTGATTGTGCAGCTCATTCATCAATCAGCCAATTGTGTGTCATTTCCAATCTTATTTTGTAAAACCGCGACAGAACGAGTCCGCGATAAAAAAAAACCCTGAAGTTTGAGAAATGAAAGTGCTGAAGACGTGCACGTAGCCGACTGTGGACAGAGTCAGTATTTGAGCCAGACAAGAAAAGAACCGTATCATCAGCATACATTCAAATATTGGAGTCATTAAATATGTTGGAAATGTCAATGTAGAGGCAGCACGGAGGCTCACTTGGTAGAGCTGCTGCCTCTCAGCGAGCAGGTCGCCGGTTCAAATCCTGGTCCGGGGTCTTTCTGGGTGGAGTTTGCATGTTCTCTCCGTGCATGCGTGGGTTTTCTCCAGGTGCTCCAGTTTCTTCCCACAGACATAAAACATGTTAGACTGATTGGTAACCCTAAGTTGTCCCGAGGTGCGAGTGAGCGAGTGAATGGTTGTTTGGCTCATTTGTCTCTATGTGTCCCTGTGATGGACTGAGACCTGTCCAGGGTGTCCCCCACCCCTCGCACAGTGATTGATGGACATGGGCACCAGCGACCCCCGTGACCCAAAATGGAAGCGGGTAAAAGATAATGGATGGATGGATGGATGGATGGATGGATGGATGGATAAATGGTTGGATGGTAAACAGTTGTATGTATGTATGATAGATGGTTGG